CTCTGTGATCATTTAAGGAAAGATATCTTGTGATTTGACATATTTTTAAATAAAACCAATTAAATAGTTTACCGCGAGCCTTCGATATCGTTATATCAAATTGGTGTAAAGAAGACACGTTTATTGAGTGAGATGCTTGGATTGCGAGGATGACACATTCAGGATTGTATTTTTAAATCATTTACAACACTTTATAATTAGGAACACAAATATATTTGCGGTTCATTAAATCCGGAACATATGTCCAATTTATCCTGCAACCTTCCAAGACTCAATAAATTTATGCATCAATCAATTTAATATTTTGTTGACTTCCTGCTATATTACCCACCTGTTGCTCTGTGCTGTGCTGTCGGCGTTGATCGTTCAATTTCCGCCTTGCTGCCTGTCCTCTGCGCCTTGCACCCTCGAGCTTATTATCGAGTTCAAGGCGTTTTGAGCGAGCGCCGTTGGCGTCCCTGAGCGTGGTGGTTCGAAGTTGGTACCCACCGCGTCTTGGACTATGTCTGCACCCAAACCGTAGGTGTTTCGGTTTGAACAGGAGTGTCATCATCAGACCCCCTTTACTCTTTCCGCTTCGGAGAGTTTGTCTTAACGCCGAACTGGTGTCCCCGATTTCCCACATCCCGGAATGGTCCGTCTCCGATTCCTTATTTCCATTTTCCCCGGCAACCTTCCCAGATTCAGAAGAATCCTTGTTCGTAGCGGCCTCCTCTGTAGACAAACGTCTCTCTTGAGCCAACTTCTCTTGCTTTTCACTCATTCGACGGCAAATCCGCCGCGCTGTTTGGCGCAAACGCTCCCGTCGCTTGAGCGCCTTCCGACATTCTTCGCGCGTGAGTTCTCGATCATAAGCTGCATTACGGTCGTAAGTCGGCTTCTTACCTGAAATAATTCAACACATCGAGAATAAGTTACTGTACAGTTGGCTGGAAGGTTAATTGTAATCGAACGCACAGCATCGATAATAGATTATGTATATTGAATGGTGAATTTGGTTTTAACATGGAAATTTCAAGGAAGAAACTTTTTTTAATATTTCAGGCTATAATAAAAATCATTCTCTGAATAATGAATAAAGATGTCGCTGTTTGGATGATCAAAGCGACTTGTGTTTGAACGAACAAAATAGAACGGGAAGGGACAAACGATGATTGTGCCGGAACTAACAACAAGATTCCCGTTCTGACATGTTTTTCTGTACATGGTGTCATGCTAATCAGAAACCCCCTGACGTATTTTACATAGATAGCTTGACTAAAAGATTACCACATACCCGCTGCCTGGGTTCGAGTTCGGGGTTCAAGCACCTTTGGTTTGAAATCAATGAAACCCTTGGGTTTGGCGATCTTCTTTTTCTTCTTTCTCCTCCCGATCCATTTCTGTCTTCCTGTAATCAGAGTTTAAGCAGCATACTAATGAATTGTGTTTTAGCTTTCATGAGCACTAGATATTAGATACTATGATACTTTATAAGACTTGAAAGTTTTTCAAGAAGGTGTGGTGCCTTATGTTTTACACACGAATTCCATGAATAGAAATATCAGAAATTTAAATAAAAGAGTTCCTATAGAATAGAAATATCAGAAATTTGAATAAAAGAGTTCCTATCTAGTCTAGCTGGTATTGTGTATCAGATGCGTATTTTACACATGTAAGTCGCTTGAGTGATCGATTTAAAGCATATTCACTGTGTTATTTGAAGTGGAGTGCAACCCGTCACATTGACAAATATGACACTCGTCTCAGATATAGGCCTAACGTCTATATTCCGGAAAACCATCTTACGGGCGGTTATAATCAAGAGTAATTAACATTACTTAATCGGAACATAAATATAATATAAAATCCCGAACATAAATGTAAATTACACGAAGTTTATTACCAGGAACTTTTATATTCCGGAAAACCAGCTAACGGGCGGTAACAATCCATAGCGTTAACATTACTTAATCCTGAACATGAATACGATTTGCAGACATTATAATCCGGAAAAAGACGTTAATAAAAATAAATGTACACGTGACGTTTATAACTAGGAACACGAACGTAATTTACGGAACGAGAAAATATGGAACTAAAAAATATCTTTTACGGGACATACTAATCGGGGGGAAAAAACGTAGTTCACAGGACGTTAAAATCCGGAACATAAATCGAGGGAAATTATAATCTGGAAAGCAAATGTTATTGACGGTATATCGTAATACGGAACATAATCAATATCTTATAATTAACGAGACACTATATACAAGAACACAAACATAATTTACGAGACATTTCACTTTCCTCAATCCAAAATATAATCGTTATTCATGCTTGACTTTAACTTAATACCAGCACTGACTTCACTACTTATGCATAATGTCTCCTAAAATTCATTGCGACAATGAGAGAGTCAATGTCCATGGAAAACACCTTATTTCCATGAGAAACTAAACTATTTAACTCCATTTTAATATCTCTGATGTTTGCATTTCAAACTAGTTTTCAGGGTTTCTAATGATCTATTTGATTCAGTTCATGAAGATTTAAAAAAAAAGCAAGCGAATACATGTTATAAAATGCTTTTGTGGTGTTAACGACATGAATGACGTCATCGTAAGACGCTTCATTTCCCGTTTTTAAAGGGCCTACTTGTTTACATCGTAATTTGAGCAGCAATTACACGTCTCGTCGCCTCTCTGACATTTTAATGGTATGTAAATTATGTGCATTGCCTACATAGAACCGCTCGCGTGACGAATGATATCAGATTGTAGAACGCTATTGTCAGACGGAGCCATTACGTCTATATTTGTATTACGAGGTTGACTCTATGTGGCAACATGTATTTGCATGTCTGACGGAACAGATAAGATATATGAAACGTGTTATTATATTTTTTACCTTACTTAAGGACGCCCGTACCACTGCCAAAAACTCTAACTATGCATTAGAAACTGATCAATGATCAATGTTCAATTTTCAATTTGAAAAGAAAACCACACCGTGCGAAACTTTCATGAAAAATAATAATAAAGATGACATCAATAGTGTAAAAATGCAGTGAAGTCGCGCCAGGATTCGAACCTTAGACATCAGATTAAACTGTCGCTCTATCTAACTAAGTAACCTGGTCAACGGAATCATCCTGACCCAGTCGCGGAAGTTATTAAGGGGAATGGCAACAAATGATTCACCCGTTGGCAGTATCATGTGACCGGGCGGAATACTGTGCTTGGTGCCTTTGGCATGGCACTTCAGTGAGATAGCACAATAATGTCGGCATCATATTCGCGCTATCGCAAGCAGGCAAGCACATCAACATACCCTCTCTCCTGCATACACACACACACGCACGCATACACTCACTATCACTATACACACACGGAGGCACGTCCTTAAATAACCTTAGCTGTTATTAGGACGTTAAACAAAATTAAACCAAACCTATATTCAAAATGAAATCAAGGGAAAACAGTAAGTAGGTACGAAGACGTAGAGTGGAGTTCTCTTGTGTTTTGCTTGCATTGGGACAGGTACAAATTGTATCCTTAATCTGTTTACTTCGTCTACTTACCAAGTAAACGGTCTGTCCTGCTCATGCGCTGTTTAGTTCCTCTAGCTTTCCTTCTTATCTCGTCAGCCTAGCAAAACAAATATATGACATTAGTGAAAACTCGTTGACTTGTTTTCGAGTCGGTGACTTGTTTTCGACTTGGGGATTTGTGTTTGACTCTATGACTTGCTTTTTAAGTCAAAGAAATGTTTGAGCCGATAACTTTTTGACTCGAGGACCCGCTATTCAGTCGAATTGTTTTTGACTCGATGACTTGCTTTTTACTTAATGTCCTTTTTTAGCCGAGAAACTGTTTTCGATTCGAACTGTTTGTTAGTGTTAGAACTGTTTTAAACAGTGTGTACTATACAAGTACCACGAGTTTATTATCATAACATTACTATTCGCAACAGCAAATGTCAAATAAACGTATCTACAAACGATGGCGTCATTCGAAGCCCCGCCATAATGAAATGTCGAAAGTTTGTCACGAAACTAGGAAATTTTATCCGGTCAGAAATATATGGACAACGGTCTCATATTCCGTCAGTGGACCGTGTTAATATATTTATAAATGGTACTACGGCAGCGTGCGTGTCCCGTAATTGTGTATATCAGATGTGGTGTGTCATTACAAAGTATAGAGGGGGCAACCAACCCATAGAAAATACATTATACATTTAAATCACATCATAAACTTGAGAGTAAACAAGATATTCAGACTTCCTCATCGGAATTCACACGATAAGTTTAAAAAGTCATGACAGCTGTTACGTATACGGCCCCACCTGAAATCCTACACTGGGTTCAGTGTGATTATGCAACATGTTTCATACAATTGTATTATACCGTTTGGTGATTATACAGCACAGAAAATATCACCCGTGTTATGCTCTGTTGCAGAACATGAATGATCCCTAACTTACTGGAAGGGTTGGGTGGCATAGCGGATAACGTCATCGCCTTTCAACAAGACGGCCGTGGTTCGATTCCCCGGTCGGACGTGAAAAGAAATGGAGTTACCTGCCCGACCACGCGAGTCGTCTGCGGGTTACTTAGGTTTCCTACCAAACTAGACCGCGTGTGCATGCCAACAACAGTGTTTAGTATACGTTATAAAACTCCTTTCATTATTGTTGTTAAATAAACAAAGTTAATGTTTTTATGTTTCATGTATGTAGTACCATATACAACGAACCAGAACTAAAAAAAAATGGAGATAAATAAACATCAAATATTTCCATTGAATCGTGTTTAGATCAATAGCCAATTTATGACAGTTAAGGTAATATTCAAGAGCAGACGACAGTTTATTTGCAAAAAAAAAGAATGAATAACAAAACATCTGCAATTTCCCGCAATTTCGATTACAACTAGTCACTCCAGCAGCAACGCAATCATAACGTCATCGAATTTCGATTGAAGTCAGAAATTTCCCAGGTTTTTCATCGATCAATATTTCATCCCGACAGAAGTGCTGCAATCTGGTAACATTAAAATGGCAACAGATGGGTATAGTTAGACACATCGTGTACGTATATATGTGCAATATGTATGGACTGAAATACATCTCACATTTACGAACCCCGGCTGCTTACAAACATTATACGTTGACAACATAATGGACAATTATATTTCATCATTCTTGGTGTTTTTTTGTTTTTTTGTTATTCATGGTACAAATTAAACAAACTGTTATAAACAAATAATGAACAGACATTTCTTTAGGGAACAATGTCGTGTTTTTATGGTTACCATTTCCGTCATTCGATGCACTTAGCTCGGAAACCTTTCGGGTGTTTCCGTCAGTTTGATGGACCGATTACACTAACAGCTGGACGGAAGACACGAATATTTTCCGTTAAAGGTTTATTCATACCGGCGACAGGGAAATGTTTAGTTAAATATTCATGTATTGTTATTCCAAAAATGTTTATTCATTTCTCATAAATAGATATCACCCAATTTACATTTCTATGTCAATTTGATATTTCTGGCACGTGGTTCCATAAGTAGAAAAGGCTACTTTGGTATACTTATGTTTGGTAATATTTGGAGATAAACGATAAATATAAGCAGAAAAGTACGTAGTTCCAATAGGACCCAAGGGAGGTCCTGGTCAAATTTCCCCTCAAAGCTGGCTTTTGTTTTGGAAAAAAAATCTAAATAAAGTATCCAAATAGACAGCGTCGCACGTGCGGCACATAAAATAAGGTACTTACGCTTTTGAAATTATTTCTAACCTTGAACTGCCCGTGTAACCAAAACCAACGTATGTAACCGATGTATACAGTTGAATTGACATAAAAGTGTATCATGTCGTGAAAATTGCATACATAAATAGACTTTTTTAAGCTATGCCAACTCCTTGGTCCGCTTTTCTACACTCGACTCCTTTGGGAACAGAGACGTTAATTGGCAAAGAGGACATTGTCTAAGGAAGTTTGATTTCATAAGCTGAATTTAGTGTTTATATTATATCTATACATTTTACTAGTCCCAATAATTTCATAATTCGTCAGTTATTCTGATATACCTACATAATACATCATTTAGCAACTAGTCCTCTGTCAATGCTGGTATCATTACGACATCGCTTTGCCAAATTATTGAAACTGTAATTGTACATCATGTAAAAGTCACTGAAGTTGGTACTGGTATGTAAATGATATCGATTTCCATCTATGTATATATATGGGTTTTATCATGTTTAAATATTATTGTAAATAGCATGATGCCCATTGCATTATTGATGCAATTATATAATTGTTTAATGGAAGAGGATGTTTTGAAGTTGTAATAACTTGTGTCCAATTCCTTT